AAATAGGTAGCTGGGAATGTTATTATACGAGATGGAATCCATTCCTTCTTGAGAAAGAACTAGATAAATAATTCTCTTGATTGTTGATTCGGTACTTGGATTAGTAAGAGCGTTCTGGTTCGTGAATGTGTTTTATGAATCACTATCCATTAGAGAATCAATGGTACTCAAGGATGAAGATATAATTAGAGAGGTTAACGGATTCTACCTGACTCTAATTATGAATTATTTATGGAGGATTGATCTATATGTAATGACTATATCAAATAAACACTTCGCAGTTTAGAAGTAATTAATGTCTATAATTTTGAGAGTTCAATTCCAAGTTTATAGTGGAGTAACTATTGGAATTAATAGAATTAATTAATTATTAATTTTATTGGAGCTCGGGATTATAGGTCCATTAGTCTCCGCGTTGTCCTTGTAATTCTACCATACACAAAGGGCAAAATGGGAATTTTAGAATTACGGAATTCTAAAATTAAATACACGAAAAATAATTAATTGAGAATTAATTATTATTTAAATAATGTGATTATTTAAATTTGAATTTAAATTGTGAACATAATTTAAATTTATCCTTTTGAACTTATTTGATAAGTTGTTCAATTTAGAATTTAAATTAATTTAAGTTTGACTTAAATTCGAATTTGAATTTGAATTAAAATTGAACTTATTTGATAAATTGTTCAATCGATATTAATTTATGCTTCGATTATTTAATAATCGGAATTGATATATTAAATATGGGGTACACTCGACGTCAGATCTTCCAAAAAGGAAAGGCGAAGACTTAGTAAAATTCTAAAGAGTTATAAGAAAGCAGCAATTGCAAATCAAGGTATAAATTAAAACTGTTGTCTTTTATATATATATATATATAAGGAGCAGATAAAATAAAAGGATATCCGAAGCACCCAGGCCATCATTACAAACGGAGGCTCGGGACCAATTTCTCACACCTAAAGCACGAGAGGGCAACCGAACCTAAGTCTGAGGCCACCCAAAAGAAGCCCTCGACCTGGGGGGTAGCTGTTGTGTGGGAAAATGTGACGGAGACGTGGACGAAATAGACCGCGACACGTGGTCTTGACTAAATCCCCACCAAGCAAGGAACTCTCGACGCTTATGGACCCCTCCTATTTCACTGCGAAGGCCCAAGGACGAAGTTCAAGTCCGGGCGACGATCCCTTATGGCGTCGACTGATTGCGCCGTTGACACTAAGGGATGAAGATCTCTCGACCACAGAAAGGGGCCACCGAAGAAGGCGGTTGAGCTAAGCAGTGCTGACGACGAGGGGAACGTCCTTTAGAGGACGTAACGGGTTACGTGCAGAAGTGGAGGAGGTCTGTAGGCATTAATTGTAAGCTGTCAGACCGCCCCCACAGGGGACAGAAAAGTATTACGGGGAAGCACAGAGCCGTAATGGGAGACTAATTGGCTGAGTGAACAGTGCTGATTAGTGGGCTACATCTGGGTCTACCAGAAGAGAGCACTTGAGTGCCTCTACCTATGAAGAAAACCCCCTAAGCGAAGGAAGCCCAATATAAAAAGAGGAAGACCCCAGTAAGGAAGGGGTTCGAGAGACTAACAAGGGAATAACAAATTTAATAAGAATTATGATTGTAAGTTGTGATCTTCCAACAAAGATATACAAAATTACAGTGGATGTAGCTCTTATTTTATAGAGTGAACCACTATAAAAACTCCTTGTGTCATTTGCCTGTGTATGATTTAGTTAACTTACAAACACACACACATGTTCAACAAATCCACATACGTTAAACTATACAAACGCGGCCGGTAATCTGAAGGAAAACTAAGAGGTAATCCGGTCGGTTTTTTGTTGGTGAAATTTGACCGTCAACAATTATGTACCAAGATTTTCAATTAGTGTGCCCTAATCCGATTTCATGTTTCACATTATCATTCCAAGGATTTCTAATTTCAAAACAAGGATTAAAAATGCTAATCCACTTATCTCAAGTCCCCAAATGAAGCTAATTTGGGTTCTCCTAAAAAACATGGGTCAAAATAGCAATTTCAGGCTAAACAGGGTCAAATCCCGTGTCAACCGGTCGACCGGTGACAGAACAGTGCATCACCACTGGTCGACCGGTGGTGTGCAATCCGGTCAACCGGACCGGTTGACCGGTGGTCTCAGTGTAGTCTCATCGACCGCATCGGTCGACGGGTGAAGAACTCATGTGCGAGAAAACTCACGGAAATCAGTTTGAAAACCTGCAAATCCAGTCCCAAACCAAAATATTTCAATGGACAACCACTAGATCCGGGTCCTAGGTCCTAAAACAAGTCCAAAGAACCCGAGATCTCTAATTTCTACCCTAGTTTTACTTAAAATCCGTAAAGATTCGTTTCGAACCAAAAATAAGTTTTAGAATCCGAAATCTACAGATTCAAGCGAGGTTTTTCAGAAATCTTACCTTGAATCCTTCTCTTAACGTTGAAAACGCTTTGAAACTTTCCTTTGGTTTGAATTCCGGTTGATTTTGAAGCAAACGGGAGAGAGAACCGAGAGAGGGAGTGAGAGAATGAAGAGAGAGAGAGAGGGAATGGTCTAAGAGAGAAACGGGAGGAAAAAGAAAAAGGAAGAAAAGGAAGAAAAGAAAAAAAAAGAAAAAGAAAAGAAAATAGACAGCTACCAGCATTAAAAAAAACAGTCCAGAAATGCGCCCATACACACTTCTGGGTTAAAATAAAATTACTGAGAATATTTAAATGTCTTGGAATTATCTAAATTACACGTCAGAAACATTTATTAATCAAAACCAATTAATAAATCCAGATTAGGCACACTAATAATTCTTAATTATCTCAATTAATTCCAATTGATGCGTAATATTTTTGTATATTAAATTTTCGCAAGCGTACGGTGTCAAGTTTTGAGTATAGGGTGAGTGAGTATCGTCTCCACAGGGATTGGGTTTAGAATTGCCGTTAAGTACCGCAATTATCATAACTTAACTGTATCTAGGCAACCTAATAAAATGATAATTATGAACAAAAACAAAATAAATATAAGAATAAAAATAAAGTATCTATACACAAATGGTCTAGGGACTTGATTTCGCTTTATTATTCCTATGTTCATCCTATTATGTAATCGCTAATCAATTCCGTTCAATTCATTAATCAAGGCTCTAATGTCACCTCGTAACCTCTCTCGAGTGCCTCACAAGGAACTATATTTAAATTCTCAAAACAATATTCCTATTCGAAATGAATATTTAAACACAAATTAAGCTTCGCCTTTAGAATTAGAAAATAGGAATATTGATCGCCTCCCGACCTCACAACGACCTAAATCCTAATTTGATTATCTAATCGTTGATCTCCTCTCAGTCTCACAACAACCTAGACTATGTTTCTCAAATCTAGATAAAGAACTCAATCTCTCCCGAGCATCAAATTCGCAATCTAAAAATCATCTAACTCATTGGCCAAATAAATTAGAAGCATTAAGCATAGAGAAACATAAATGAATTGAAAAAGAAATTAAATTAACAATTAACACAATATTCAAAACATAGTTCAAATAAAACTACATCAAGTCCTAGATCTAATGTCTAGCTCAACATGAAAAAATAGATGAAAAAAGATAAAATCCAAAATCCATTGAAGAGCTTCCAAGGACCTCCAAGATGAAGGATTTTGGCCTCCTTTTGATGTTTTCTTCAGTTTTCTGGGGCTCTCATTCTCAAGTGGCATCTCTTTCCTTTTATACTACTCAGTTTCGAAGCTAGGGATTCATACGTGCGCTACAACCTGCGTGAAAACGCGCTGCAGCGCGCGTTTTTAGAAGAAGGATCTCGTTGCTGTGGGCTGAGGCGCGCTGCAGCGCGCGGGTAGGCTTCTGGGCTCGCGGGCGCGCGCATGGGTGCGCGCTTGGTGGCCAGGGTGCGGGTGCGCAGGGGGCCAGGGCGCGGGCGCACGCCCCATTCTGACTTGGCTTCACTGATTTGAGCACGCAGGCTCTTTTTTCTTCTTTAGGCGATATATCGCCTATTTACAGGTGACATATCGCCTGTCACTCTGTTATCTGTGCACCGTAGCCCACTTTCTTGCATTCCAAAGCCTCTTGTTTTGTGCCTTAAAATCCTATTTCCCCTTCTCTTGCCATTGATTCACAAGTTGGGCAAATATTCTTCTTTTCTTCATACAAAATCATCCAAGTTCGCATTTATTTATAATTCATATAAAAAGCATACAAAAGACATTAAACTAATAAAAATGCTTGAAGACTTACAAATATTCAAGCTTAAAAGTACTTAATTTGTTGGTAGAAATACCCATCATCATCAATTAATTTTTCAGGGTGTTACAAATTTATGTCAACAAAATATAGACTAACAATAATACTATGGTAGGATATTCACACGATTTTTACGGATATTGTGTAATTCTCAACTATCGATTTTTATCAATTTTCTTTTTTCTTTTCTTGAATGTTTATATATACTTTTTAAAAGTAAAAATAGCTCAATGCTAATTAGGAAATCATAACGAATAGTGTAATTTTGAATACTTATGATAATAGATAATTTATTTTTATAATAATTTTTAATTATAGTACGGTTTCTAAAATAAATAGAAATGTTTAATTTTTTCTTACAAGTAAAATATGAGTTCGTTAATTAATAAGTTAGTGAAATCTTATAAAATAAAAGGTAGCAAGTATTAATAACAAATTATGCAATTTAAGGGAGTAAATTAGATAAATTATGGATATAACAAATTTAATTATAAGTAAATCCGAATAAATCCTAGATTTAATTTATTGATTAACTTACTTAAAAAAATGCCATTCATTTTTATTATGAAAAAGATTACCTAATTCCCTTTGGAATGACAATGAGTGTGCCAATTAAATTTGGGCCGGGCTTTGGCTATGGACTGGGCTACGGGGTCGTAGACTGTGTTGACCAGTCTAGGGTCCATTCACCAAAAGAAAAACCCAAATTGGCGGACTTACCCTCCATCCTCTCGCTCGGCTTCTGCGTTCTCTCGTCTCTCGAATCTCATCCGTCTCTGCACTTTTCTCTTTCTCTAATGTAAGTCTTTCCCTTCTCTCCAAACAATCTTAGGCATATATCAGTTTTATTTTCTCTCATTTTCTCAGCAGGCAAACAGAGGTCTGTTTAATTGTCTAATTTTCAGTCTGATTACATAACCATTCTCTATATGAATCATAGCTTCAATTGGAAATAGAAAAAAAAAAAAAAAAAAAAAAAAAAAACGCCATTTCGCTTCATCGATTCGATTCAATTCGATTTTCTTTGGTCTCTGATTTGGAAGTACAAAAAGAAAAATGCTTCAACACCAAATAGTGCAATCCCCAGCAAGGCTTGGCCTTACAAACCCTAATTCTCCCTCTCTCCAGAACCACCCCACCACACCTCCTAAACTCCCTCCTTCTCAGCCCTCCACCATTCTTCCCTCCTCCTCCTCCTCCTCCTCCGCCTCCGCCTCCGCCGCCACAGCCGCCGCCGCCACCACCACCACCACATCATCTGCATTGCTCTCCCTCCTTCCCCCGCTCCCCAGAGCCCAATCCCTTCTACTCCAAATGGCCTCCCTCGCCTCCAGACTCTTCGAAGTCTCTCCGAATCGATCCCTTTGGCACACCGCATTCCGCGGCAATCTCCCCACCTTCCTCTCTTCCCAAACCACCCAACAATCCCTCGACTCCTCCCCTTCCTCCACCAAGGAAATCCTCTCCCTCTTTACTGCCCTCCAGACCCAGCTCTTCGAGTCCGTCGCCCAACTCCAGGAGATTCTTGATCTCCAGGATGCCAAGAACAAAGTCGTCCGCGAAATTCGGTCAAAAGACTCTGCGCTCCTTGCCTTTGGCCACAAAGTCAAAGAGGCCGAGCGGGTGCTTGACATTCTTGTCGACGACTACTCCGATTATCGCCACCCCAAGAGATCCAAATTGGATGACGATGCTATGGATGATGATGGTGGTACCTCCAGCAGCACTACCGTCGCTTCACAGTTGAATTTATCGGATATCCTGTCCTATGCTCACCGGATTAGCTACACAACCTTTGCACCCCCTGAATTTGGTGCTGGACAAGCTCCCCTTCGCGGGGCATTGCCTCCAGCCCCACAGGAAGAGCAATTGCGTGCTTCTCAATTGTACAACTTTGCATCCCTTGATGTTGGTCTGCCTAAGATTGTGGAGAGTGATGAGAAGACTGTTGAGCCAATGATTGAGCCTCCTGCTCCAGCCCCTACGGAGTCTAATCCGCTGGCCAATTTGGCTACCATTCAGGGTCTGCTTCATCCAAACATCACAGTTCCATCAGGTTGGAAACCTGGAATGCCCGTGGAACTACCGACCGATTTGCCCATGCCTCCACCTGGATGGAAGCCCGGGGATCCGGTGCCGCTGCCCCCATTGGCGTCTCTTCCAGTTCCTAGAGTTGGGGAACAACAATTGCGTCCTAAACCACCGGAGCCAATACAGGTTCGCCCTGTTCAGCTTGATATCATCGACCAAGATGATGACAGTAGTGATTATAGCAGTGAAGAGGGCACATCCGAAGATGATGATTAATGATCAGATATGCACCAAGGTATGGTTGTGATTTCTCTGTTTATGACATTATAGAATTCCAATAAAGTTATTTCTTGATTTGATTTTTCTTTGGGAGTGGGATTGTGCCACTATCTGTTTGAATTTAATTGTACAGTTCTCACTGTCTGCTACATAGCTCATTTGAAAGGGAAAGTATATAAGATTAGGCTTTAGAGCGAAGAATGTGTCGGTCATTATGTAGTATTAGAATCGGACTATACTGATTAGCTTCCTCTTAAGTTAATCGTAACTAGTCAGATTCAGCTTGACTTGAAAATGAGTTACTATCTTAGTTTAACAAAGGGGCTGATTAAATAAAACAATTAATTAGTCGTATGCAGTAATGATGAACCAAACAGGATGTCCTTGTGTGGTCTTATTATAAATCAGCCCCACAATTATGACTAAAATGATGAGTAATGTCTTGCCATTTCCAATTGTTGCAGTCACACATCTATGAAATCTGATATGTGAAATATACGTCAGTTGCATCATATTGATAGTGAAAGTAATATTTTGAAGTGCAGACAAATTCTTGAAACCTGATATGAAGTTTGAAATGAGGTCATTTCAAGATTATGTAAGCCGTTCAAAGTATCACTGTCAGTATCAATATGATGCAGCTGAAGTAAATTTCACATTTTGGTGCCCTTAATTATATTTTGGATCGTATTCAAGCTAAGATGAACGTTTATGTACCTTATGCTATCCAGTATCCACGATTTGCATCCTTTGAGGCCTATTTGAAAATTTTTAGGTTTTTCTTGATTCTGTTGAAATGTATTATTTCCTATTTGTTCAGGGTCAATAAGCTTCTGACATGTATTAATTCTTGTATGTTTTGAGTTATTATATACATGTCAATGCATTTGGTACATATTTAAGGCTTTTACTAATACATGAATGTTTTGCGCGCGTGGGGACAAAAAAAAAAAAAAAAAAAAAAAAAAAAAAAAAAAACAAGAAAGTAGTTTTTATGCATTTTCTTTTGAAATTCTTTTTATGCACGAAATATAAATGTATAGAATTTATCTCTGTAAATTGAGAAAAACTAAGATATGATTGAGGTTTCTTTTTCACATGAGAAAGCTTCTCCTTTTTTCATGTTCCATTTGTTTCGTTAATAATGTTTGTCCGGTTGACAGTAGTTTCTATTTCAGGCTTGAGTGTTTGCCTTGACAGTGGATGCCTCTCGAAGATCTGTGTATAAGTGCGGCAAAAGGATCGTTGTGGTCAATTCGATGTGAGATTTGCAGATTGGGACAAAGTGTACTTGCGAATCATGTAAAAACTATTATGAGGGAAAGTGATACCACTGACTTTTACTTGGACTGGCAGTTGATAGCTAATTTCTTAACGCATTGACCAAAGCTTATTTGAAGTTTTTGTTCAAGCTTAGCTACTCAACATTCCGGAATCTGAATCGGCTTGCTTGCGGTTTTGCTTTGCAGAGGTAACCTGGGAGTTGCAGGTATTGATGCCTTCTAGCTGCGCAACATTAGTAAGAAAATAGTAGAGCACAATGAATCTTTGAACCCACCCTGGTATAAAGTTTATGCTGTTGCCGCATCTTGTTTTTTTATTGTATTAATTGTATCCTCTCAGTAACGAACTCTGTAAAGTTCGTAGGCTTGCTGTATTTGACTTTTGAACCGAATGGCGAATGCGTAACATGAATAATAGTTAACACTGATAGCAGGTGTGCTTATCTTTTTCTTTGATTCTTTGTATGTGTGGCTGTTACAAACAAGTTCCAATCACATGGGATTTTGGTCATTCTGTCAGGTGGATAAGACACGCCCCACTCTGAACCCAAAGTTTATGAATACCTATCTGACAACAATTGTCCAAATCTACCTTTTTTTTTTTTTTTTTAAGTGTCAAATTAACTCGATCTCTTTGATTGGAGTATATTTTATTCCTTCTTTCCTCTTACAACCAATTTTTTGTTTTAAATTTTTTTAGGAACTCTTACCGATTTTTGGAGTTACAACTTTCAATGAAAAGTCATGTTGCATATATAATTATTTATGAAGCTCGTCAACTACTAAACAAAATTAGGCTCTTAGAAAGCAACAGCTCATCTCACCAAGAAGAGGATCTACTTTATTTGCAAGCTAAAGAGAATTGACAATCCAACTACGAACTTTCCACCATCAATGGAATTGCTACTTGACGTTATTTCAATTTGTCTCATTCAGAATTCATTTCCACTCGGATTTCATTTTCATACACTTCTTTATAATATCTCTAATATTAATTATAAATTTATCCAATTAACTTTATATTATAATGTTGTAACTAAACATGAGTTTGTCCGTCTATGTTTCTTGAAAAGTTACTGATGATTAAAGCATGTAATGTCAAACATGTTATAAACTATAGACCTGTATATTGTAGGTGCAATCTGTTTTACCTAACAAATATAATACAATATCTCTGTAAGCTGACAAAAAACCAAGATATGAATATGATTGAGGTTTCTCTTTTACGCGAATGTAGGCTTTAACACGAATGGATAATGTTCCTGTGTATGGAGTTCCGAGTTCGTTATATTTGGTCTTACATTTTCTATTAATCTTGCTTATTAAGAGGGGTAATCTTGACAAATACTTCTTGAAAGTGCATAGGTTAGGAATAAGGATTTTTATTTTTTACTCTTGATTCATAACTTTTTTAGTCAAATAATTACACTAACAAAATGGTATTTATCAAGAATAAGGGGTAAAAATCCAGACTCATGCAACTCTTAAATGTAAATTCTGTAATTTTCTCTATTATATATATAAGAAAGTCCTCAAAATGGCTGCTTGGGCAAATTCTTAATTAGGCTCTTAAGAAGAATCCCACTTAAAAAACTGTAATTTGGGAAATTAGGGCCATTTGTGATGAATAACACATTAACCAAAGGTATTCTAAAAAAAAAAAAAAAAAAAAAAAAAAACCACATTAACAAAAGGTTTGCCTTCTTGGTCCATTGAATATAGTTGCGAAAAATGGAAGTGAAATGCTATTGCGTGGCCGTAAAATGTTATAAACACGTTCCATACACATGGGAGTTTGGAGAAATTAACGGTCATTTTGTCAAGTGGATCAGACAAACGTTTGTGAAAACTTATCCGATTGGAATATATTTTCTTTCCTTCTTTATTTTCTTACGACAAATATTTGGAGTTCCAACTTTCATTTAAAAGTCATCATATTGCATTACTCTTTATGATCCTGTCAAATCATTTTTTCCCGGTACACAATTATCTTGGTAGCTATACAAATTCTAAACCCTTTTATATATTTTTCAATTTAAACTCGCATGTTTGGTTTAAGGGTTCAAACTACTGTAGTTTTAGTTTAAACAATATTTTCTCTCATAAAAAATTTAAATTTAAAAAGTTTTACTATAGTATTTTCTCACACAAAATTTGAATTCTGGTTCAAATCATCTGATTTGAACCTTCAAACCAAACAAGCACTTAATATCATTAGATATTTGATCTAAATCATAATTATATGCTTTGCTTTGCTTGACGATTAGTATATATTACTTGCGAGTGGTGAGTAGTTGAGGCTATATAAAGCGACATTCTATGACGCATATTATCAAGTAAACTATTTGCAGTAAGCCACCGTAAACTATGCTATGATTTTTTATGTTTAACAGAAATCAAATTTCAAAGTGAACTACTGGAGTGCCAACAATTTGATACATAAACAAGTGAAAATAAGGGAAAGAAAAATTAATAGGAAACTAAACAACATGACAATGGTATAATTATACAAAAGAAGAGTTGGTTCAACCATCTACGGATTGTTTGTAATGTATCATGTAATTCTATTTCCTCTGGCATTACGACCTTTACCACAACGATGCTGTCCATAGATCAAATTATTTCGTGAATTGGATTTCACTTGCCTGTCTACGGCTCCTTTGCGTGTGCTTGGGGTAGAAGTATTATCAAAATTCTTTTTTTTTCCCCTTTTTCATGCACTAAAAAATGTCAAGATCATTTTTTTTCCATCATCGAGCGGCTGAAATTCAAGCAATTATTTAGTGGCTGGAATTTTAGTTTATATCATACAATCCCAAATTTTAAGATGTGCCATAATTTGTACTATCACAAAACTGTTTAAAAAAAAGTTGATAAGGGTCTTATCAGGAGGGGAAGAAAAGCTTATAAGGATAACTAAGGGTCCGTTTGGTTCTTAAATTTATTTTCTGATTCGAATTATGATTCGTGGTTCATTACAGTATTTTTTCTCACAAAAAATACACATAAATCAAAAATAGTTCAAATAATATGATTTGAATTCATGAACCAAATGGACCATAAATTTTGAGCGCATAGATTTTGCGATTGAGCATATATTTGCCAAATGGCGAGTTTCACGTGGCTATATATCACTAAGTACTAAACTGTTTCACTTTTCATGACTAATCAAGCGTCGACGTGACTCAACCATGACAAACCCATCCATCCATCCATCCTCCTCTTATTATTTTCTTATTTTTTTTTCAACTAATTTTTCGTCCCCACGAAGCAATCTTTTTTTTTAAATAACAATAATATTATCACCATGGCACCCAATGACGGAGAATAGATAGTAAAGGACCATTTCAATAAAATAAAATAAATAACATAGTCAAAGAGAAGAAGAGGTACTTTAAACTTCTAGAAAGAAATAAAAATGGGACATTAAGAAAAATTGATATGGAAAAAGAGAATTATTCAAAATATGAGAATTATACAATATTATTACATACAGAGTAAAGGGTGCAACATATATAGTATTTATTCTGTATAATTTATATTTTTTTTATTATAATCAACATTAATGAATAAATACTTTGTTGTATTTCTACAATGTCATTATTATATAAATAATTTTATTGTTCAAATTTCATTAAGACTTCATTAAAATACCAAATTAAAACACTTAATAAACCTATGAATTTAAAAATGAGACCTTTTCGGTACGCTAATATATCGGTAGGTCAAGTTTTTTATCTGTCAAATCTGTATAAAATCATGTAAAAGTTAAAAAGTATACATATTCAAAAGTTAAAAAAACTTTACATACTGATACACTAAGCATACCAAAGAATATCCTTTTAAAAATTATGTTCTATTTGCAGGGTTTATTTTTTCTTATTATAATCAGAAAATAAATGAGATGTCATTAAGGCCTCGTTTATTTCACCGATTTGAGTTTTATTACAGTAAAAAAATTTTAAAAATAATAATATTAAAATTTTTATTACAATAAAAAACTCACATAAAATTATGTTTTAACTCAAATTAAAATTTTAAATCAAACTAAACGGTCCTAAATAATTTAGGAAATGTGGATTTAAGCAAAAGAAGATAATGATGGCCGTAATAGAAAACGAGAGACAGAGAATACGTGTCGGACGAGAAGGGACCCACAGGAGAGCCCCCCATGAAGTCCGGCTTTGCACGCGCAGTCAGGGAATTGGGCCCCACAGCCCCACGCACGTCCATGCAAACAGGAAAAAAAAAAAAAACATAAAAACAAAAGCGTGGAATTTGATGGCCCATGGTGTTGTCGCGAATGTCGAGAGGGGCCTACGCTTTCTTATCCTGTGACAGCCCACATCAAATCATATAATCTTATTAATTTGTCTCTATTATGTTGCTGATACATGATATACATATATTTATAGAAGCACATACATATATGCGCATGGAATTGTTTCGATCAGCATCACCATCATTATAACTGCTCGGAAATCAGCGTCCCACCTTTCTCGAGGCCTTCCGTTAGTTATTTTAACGGTAATCTTTGCCACACACTATTTCCCACGCCCCACACCAAAAATTAAACAAAAAAAAAGTTAAAATTGAGAATAAAAAAGAAAGAAAAAAGCTACTAAAAAAATATATAAATGTATAAATAAATAAATAAATAAATAAAAAAGAAACTACTACCTTTTGTTTTCATAAAATATGTTTGAGATCATTTTAGATGGCCCAGCTTATTAATAATGTCAGTTTTTAACCGTTAAATTAAATTAAAATTATATTAAATTAAAAAAATATACATAAAAAATAATTTTTAATATAAATTTAATGATTGAAAAATATTAAACTACTAATATATTTTTTTCAATCTTATCCGAGAAACTCTCAATATATTTATTACACCTTTGAATTTTCATGGGGTTCCAAAGTTCAAGAAGAATAATGGATTCTAGGTGGCATTAAAATTTGTTTGCATTTGTAACTTTTCAGGAAATATTGCATATAAAATTACAGGCGTGTTTTTTTTTTTTTTTGTTTTTTTTGTTTTTTTTCTTGAAAGGTAGGGTAAACGTGGTTTCTAATAAGTAGATTATAATGGGTCTAAATAATGGTTGTATGATAGACGGTCTGAGTATCAATGAAAGAATTTAATTAGAAACCTCAAGGGCGAGCCGAAAAGTTTTTGAGTGCATTATAGGTATAATGATACGCATGCATATTATATTTAACAACATTTAGTGGGAAGAATTCTCCTCTCTCTTGCTCTCTTTTTTTTTTCTTTTGATTGATTGATATCATTAGTTGGGAGGTTAATAATGACCTAGCTAGGGGATCTACTTTCACTGCCATAAATTAAAAAGATCATTCTTTGAATATTTCAGAGTGTAGTTAATTAACTTTGACAAAACTATACTCATATGACTGTTAATGTTATACTTTATAGGTAAGAATATATGGAC